CACACACCTGGTCATACTCACTGACACCTGTCCTCCTCACCACTCCTGCTCTAGATCCAGGCACCTGGTCATACTCACTGACACCTGCCCTCCTCACCCCTCCTGCTCTAGATCCACACATCTCTCTGACACTTCCATTGCCTCTCTCTTTGACAGGTGTCTGCAATGACTACACCCGGTTACTCTCCGCCAGTTTGGGTGTTCTCTTGTCAGTTTTTTTGGTTTTTGCTTCAGGATGATATTTTTAATTGTTTTGCTTCAGTGGTTTACTTTTGTAAAAGGGGGTCCGGATGATGCACTCTGGGCTTGTTTGTGTGCATGGACAGCCCTTTGAGGTTTTCATGGGGTCTGTGGGGGTGGGGGGTGTAAGAAAGCCTGCCTGGGTGCAGGAGGGTCCCTGGGCCCTGCGGGAAGAGCAGGCAGCCTGGCAGCTGCCCTGGGTCTCCTCCCACTTCGAGTTTGTAATTCCATCTGTCATCTGGCCTCCTCTGCCCTCTTCTGCAGATGCAAATCTGGTAACATAGTCTGGTCCCACACCCATAGATGCATTACCAGCTCCCATCCCCCTGACTCCCAAGAGAGGCCCATGTGGAAGTTGGATGTGATTAGCCTCCACGTCGCCCTGGCCTGGGCCATCATCTCGTGTTGCTCACCTGCTCTTCTCTGGTCCTGAGGGCATGGTTTGGGGGCTGGCACAGAAAGAGGCTTTTGGGAATGAGCTCAGTCGGGGAAGGGCAGGGAACACATGCTGGGGAACGTTTGTGTACGTTCCTCCTGCCTGGAGTTGCAGACTGGTAGGAGAGGGGTACAGGGTGCACACCAAGTACAGAACATACTTGGAGTACAAGACACACACCTGGGTGGGTGCAGGACATACCCCTGAGGTTCAGGACACACACCTGGGTGCAGGACACACACCTGAGGTGCTGGACATGCACCTGAGGTTCAGGACACACACCTGAGGTTCAGGACACACACCTAGGTGCAGAACATACACCTGGGTGCAGGACACACACCTGAGGTGCAGGACACACACCTGAGGTGCTGGACACACATCTGAGGTTAGACACACAGCTGAGGTGCAGGACACACACCTGAGGTTCCAGACACACACCTGGGTACAGGACACACACCTGGGTGCAGGACACGCACCTGGGTGTAGGACATACACCTGAGGTTCTGGACACACACCTGGGTACAGGACACACACCTGGGTGCAGGACACGCACCTGGGTGCAGGACATACACCTGAGGTTCCGGACACACACCTGGGTACAGGACACACACCTGGGTTCAGGACACACACCTGGGTACAGGACACACACCTGAGTTTCAGGACACGCACCTGGGTGCAGGACACACACCTGAGGTGCTGGACATGCACCTGGGTGCAGGACACGTACCTGGGTACAGGACACACACCTGGGTGCAGGACACACACCTGGGTACAGGACACACACCAGAGTTTCAGGACACACACCTGGGTACAGGACACACACCNCAGGACACACACCTGGGTACAGGACACACACCAGAGTTTCAGGACACACACCTGGGTACAGGACACACACCTGAGTTTCAGGACACGTACCTGGATGCAGGACGCACACCAGGAAAGGCAGGGAGGATGCCACTTGGGTCCAGCAGCATAGGGGGCCAGTGGGCAGGGGTGCAGGGAAGGCTGTGGCCTCAGGCTCGGGCTGGAGAGGGCACCTCTGCATGCCAGAATGGAGAGCCTTGGGGGTCTTCACACAGCCACACTTAGGGTCTCTATTCTTGTTTAAACAGCAAAACAATGTTTTATCAGGTTTCTATGTGTTCCGGGTAATACGACCAGATGCACACCTGGCAGAGCCCGGTCACGGTCATGGGCTTGCCGTCTGCACGCTGTCTGCTCCTGTCCCAAGCCTTCTGAGAACCTCAGGTGGGACAGTCCACCCTGCAGGCACTACTCTGACGTCAGCCACTCTGTCAGGCCCAGGCTCCCAGGGCTGAGGTTCAAGAGGCAGCTTTCCACACCCCAATGGCTCCTGTCCTCTATCAACCCTGGACTTTTCCGACCCCTGCCCAGGGCCCTGCAGCCTGTGCCGACACCCTGTCCCTCGTGGAAGCCAGGCTCCCTGTGACCACTCCTCCTCCATGTAGCTGGCCAGATTCCCAAGCCCAGCTGTCTGAAACACCCTGGCTCTCTATCCCGAGTGCAGCGTGGGTGGGAGTCCTCAGTGGGAAGTCTTTTGTAGAGTGGGCAAGGCCAGGTGCCCAGGGCTGCCCACAAGAGCCTGGCCCAGATCCCTGTGTCTCCCTGCTCTTTCCTGTTTGGAACCCATCCTCAGCCTGCCATCTGCTCACCATCTTGTGGGTTCTACTGCAGGAGAGTGGCCAGAGCCTGTCTGGTGGGTCCAGCCCTGGACTGTCCTGGTGCAGTGCTGTCCACAGGGGCCTGCATCTGCTGCGTTTCCTCTTCCATCCAGGTGAAACCCAGCGCCCACCCTCTGACGGGCTTTAACTTACTGCCTGATGCTGTCACCTCACACCTGTCTGTCCCAGTGGGAGGAACCATGTGAGGAGCCAGTTTGTCCTCCTCATGTGGGACAGATTTGAAGGCTGGGTGGTTGAGGCTCAGATGACCACCTCAAATGCATGGTCACTGGCCGTAGGGCGAACCCTGGAGGAATGTGGGGACCCCTGGGTTTCAGACTTCAGGTCAAGTTCTAGCAAAGCTTCCAAATGACCTTGTCTCCTCATCCACCCCTGCTCCGGCCCCCGGAAGTCCTCCATTTTGGAATGACCTGGTGCCTCCAGGGAGCATCTCCACCCAGCATGGCCATATTGTTCTCAGGAGGAGCAGGCTGGGGGACCCGCCCTGGCCAGTCTGCAGCCTGGCCGCTGAGCCTCACCTGGGTTGCTCTGTGTTGGGGATTGGTGCACCTTGAGCTGGTAGGAGCTGCACCCTGCCCCATCTCAGGGCCAAGAGATACGGCCAAGCCTTGGCCATGCTGGCTCAGGGTGCTCCTGCCTGGAAGGGCCTGTGAACGTCGAGGTTCTGAGGCGAGCTTGGTGCTGACCCCAGACATTGCGTGCTGGTGTGGAGGATCACACTCTGTAGGGCTCCGTGTCCTGTTCTCAGTGCCTGTCAGCCTGTGGCACTGCTCCTCAGGGCTGGAACTGACCAGGTGCCACCCAGGGGACCCACAGTCTCCACAGTGGGGGCTCCACCCTCACACGTGCTGGAGTCTCCTTCCTGTGGCTGGGCACCTGTGAGAGGCAAAGTGACCTTCTTCTCTCCTTCCTCCCCAGCAACATGGCTGACAGCAAGGCCAAGCCTGCCAAAGCAGCCAACAGGACACCCCCCAAGTCCCCAGGGGACCCTGCCAGGGACAAGGCGACCAAGAGGCTGTCACTGGAATCAGAGGGCGCCAGCGAGGGGGCGGCCGCTGCCCCAGAGCTCAGTGCGCTGGAGGAGGCCTTCCGGCGGTTCGCGGTCCATGGGGACACCCGGGCCACTGGGAAGGAGATGCACGGCAAGAACTGGTCCAAGCTGTGCAAGGACTGTCATGTGATTGACGGGAAGAACGTGACCGTCACAGATGTGGACATCGTCTTCAGTAAGATCAAGTAAGTGCACCGGGACCGAGAGGGAGCCCAGCTGCGCAGCCTCCAGAGCGCGGCTCCTGACCCACCACCCCGGGCCCCACCCGTCCTATGGTGGGGGCTTGGATGTGGCCTCTGGGGCATCTGGCCCTGGAGCGGGGTGAACTCTGCTCCGGGTCACAAACAGCTGCTGCACATTGAGTGAGGACAACTCAGATGGGGCTCAGGCCAGCCAGCCCTGTCCTCCAGGGGTGACAGCAGCCCACAGCCGGAAGCCGTGGTGCTCCCTCCTGTGACTTGGCAGGGAAGTTGAGCTGGTGGTCAGAGAGCCCCCGGCGGCTGTGCAGACAGCACATGCGCACCGTGCTGCGTGCTCCGTGTGCTCCACTTGCGTACGCATGTGTGGGCGTGTGCGTCTGGTGCGCACCCTTTCAGGACGCTGGGAAGTGTGCCGAGGCGCCTTGCCCCTTCCCCTTTCCTTGGGCATCTCTGAGGCACCTGGACGACGGCTGGCTGCCACCTCCCCACTGCCACCCCCTAGGGAGAGCGGCATGCCCTGGCCACCCTCCTGCCCTGCACAGGTCCAGCCTGGACCAGCGCGTCTGCTTCAGGTAGTCTGTGTCCAGCCGAGGGTCCTCCTCCCACCTCCCACTTTGCTGCCCTCCTTCCTGCCGGCCTTGATGACTGAGGCAGGGTTGTCAGACCCCGGGGTCCTGCTGGGTGACCCTGTGGGTCTCCGTGGGTGCTGCTGGCTGGGACTGCCCTCCAGCTCTGGGTGGATGCTGAGGGCTTCACACGCCCAGTGCTCAGTGGCTATGCTGCTGTTTCCTGCCTCCGCTCGGAGGAGCAGTGGGCAGGGCAGGGTGCGTGTGGTCCAGCTGGTAGCTCCGGGGCTTCCCCAACTAGGAGGCCTGGCTGGGTGGGTCGTTGGCTCATGCCCCTGTGAGAAAAGATGGAGCTGGTCACATTTGCCACCATTGCTCTGGGCCCGGGGACACGGGGACTCTGCTCCAGCACTAGGCTAGGGTTGGAGGGGAAAGGCCAACTGGGGATCGTATGGCCCAAGGCCCAGGTCCCCAGAAAGGGGCTCCATGGCCATTAGTTCCGCCAGCCCCAGTGCCAGCCTGGCCTTTCCCTGTGTTCCTGGGATTCTGGGGTCTCTGTAGAGGAGGGGCACCTCTGAGCCAGCGTGAATCTGGATGAGCTTCCTGGGTCTACAGCCCATGGTGGTGGTCTGGGAGCAGTGGACAGTCATGCCAGAGGGGCCATGAAACCCACTCAAATGGGTCTCCAAACCCTTACAGTGGACTGGCCTCCTTCCAGTCTCCCCCAGCTCCAGGGGCTGCACAGGACAATCTGACCCAGAAGGAGAAGCTGGTAAAGCACCAGCCTCCTCGTGGAGACTGGGAGCCCACCTGGTGAGCAGGTCTCTCTGATGGGAGTCGAGGCTGGGGTTCCTGCCCACCCTCCTCCATGGCAGCTCAGGCTTGTTTCCTCCTGGGGTCTGGTGGTCTGGGGCCAGGATGTGAGGAGGCTGTGGCAGCTCCTGGACCTGTGGTCATTCTGCCCTGCCACCCACCAGGGAGCCTCTGGTCCAGCCCCACCTTCCCAGACCCCGACTTCTACTCTGGCCACAGTCCCACTCACTGCCTCCAGGCCTAGGCCTACCCTCTGACGGCACCAGCCCCAGAGGCACCAGCCCTGCTTGGGAAAGGCCTCACTGGGACCCCCTGTGCATCCTGGACAGCAGCCCCTGTGCTTCTCCCAACTCTTTTTTTTTGGGGGGGGGAGGTACCAGAGATTGAATTCAGGGGCACTTGACCACTGAGGCACATCCCAGCCCTATTTGCATTTTATTTAGAGACAGGTCTCACTCAGTTGCTTAGTGCCTCACTTTTGCTGAGGCTGGCTGTGATCTCGCGATCCCCCTGCCTCAGCCTCCTGAGCCGCTGGGATGACAGGCGTGCACCACTGTGCCCGGCCTCTTCTCCCAGCTCTTGCTTCTGCACGGGTCCTGTGCACCAGGTGGCTGTGGCAGCACTGGCTGGGGCCTCACTGCTGTCCACTGCTACCTCCAGAGGTGGGGGCAGGGAGAACCTGGGAGGTAGGACCACAGGTGGGAGCTGATTCTTCCGTGGGACAAGCCAGGAAGGCCAGGGTCTTGGGGACAGCTCAGAAGGACCCAGAGGCATGCTTGTCCTGGTGCAGCCAGTTTCAGCCCCCAGGCCCCCCAGCTGCCCACAGCTGCAGCTCCTTTGAGGCCGATCTGGGTGCTCAGTGCTTGCTGCCCCCTGGTTCCCTCGGATCCCAGCAAGGCCAGGGGACAGGCTCCCCACGAGCCTCAGCTGGGGAGACTTCCCTGGGCTCTTGGGCTCCTGTGTTTCCTGGGGCTTGTCATGGGCTTGGGTCTGTCTGTTCCCTGGAGGCAACATGTGGCCTCCTGGTAGCAACTGGACTTGCCAGTTGGGTTTGAGTGGACGGTCCCAGGCAGGGATAGGCAGGTCCTGGTCACCAAGTCTGCTCTGGCAGGTGGGCTAGCTGTGGGCAAGGGCACTGACCTGGACTGTGCCCAGATGATCTGGGGCTAGGGCCTCTGGCACAGGCACGGCCCTCATCCTGTGCCCAGAGCTCTTGCTTGGCTAAGTGGCTGTGCCGTGATGCCAGCCCAGGGAGGGACGGGGTCAGCTGTGAAGAGGGGCAGCTGCCTCCTGTGGGGCTGGCTGTGGCTGGAGCGCCCAGCCAGGCCAGGCAGGGCTGGCTCCTGCGCACGGCGAGGCCCTGTCCCCAGTGCTCCTCCACTGGCAGCTGTCTTTTGAAGCCCCCCTCCGCTCCCCCAGGCCCTGCAGCCTGCTCCGGCCTGGACTGTGGATGTGCAAGAACCGCTCGGGGCAGGCCAGCCGGCCCACGGTGCTCCACTCATGTGCCCTCTGGTGTCTTCAGTGAGCCCAGCGTGTCCAGGGTAGTTGGGAGCAGACCCAGGAGCAAGGAGGCCGGAGATGTGCTCAGGGGGCAGCTTCCAGGTGGCTAGGTGAGAGGTGGGAAGCAGTGGCCTTTCCAGGGGCGTCCAGTCCTTCTGTGGGAAACTGCCTCCCAGCTGCTGCCCATGTGCCCACATGCGGGCAGGGAGCGTGGCCGCCTCCCAGGGGTGGCCAGGGTGCTTGTGCCTCATTCCCTGGAAAGGGCTCCAGAGGCTGGGCATGGCCACCCCGTGTGAAGGGACATGCAGCCTTCCTGCCCCTGGGGCCACTTCAGACTGAGGCTGGGCCCTACTCCAAGGCATGTCCCACGCTGCCATAGACCCCAGGCTGCCCAGGGAACTCAGGGTGCCCCTGCCCTGGGGGTCAGGGTCTGGGGATATGGCCAGATGCAGCCCAAGCCCAGAGAGTGCCGAGGTCCCAACATGGCCCCAGGTGGCTGGGCGGTCAGTGCGCAGGGCCCGTGGGCACACTGTGTGCCTCCATAGCTGGTTCAGCAGACAGGGGGCCAGGATCAGAGCTGGCTAGGCCCAGGGCTCTGGCTCCCTATCTGCCTGAGGATCATGGGGTCTCCCTCAGGGTGCTGCCCACCCTGGGACTGTCCTTCCCACGTGCAGCCTGGATTCTGCTGGGTATCTGTGGCCTGGGCCTACCAAGTAGGTCCCTGTCCCTCTATCAGGCAGGTCCCCTCCCCTCCCAGGGTGCAGGACCGAGAGACCTAAACTCTCTCCCTGAACTTGGGGAGAGGGAGACTGGCCTGGCAGGGTTGTGGGGGGACAGCAAGGCCAGGGGGAAGAATGTCCTGGGACAGGGTGTTGGGGTCTTGCAGAAAGGCTGGAGAAGTGGGGTCAGGGGATGGCCAGGGTTTCCCCGGAAATCACGGGGTGCTGACAGGCTGTGTGTGCTGGGCACTGAGAAGTGGTGTCCACAGCCCTCCAGGGCAGCCGGGAGCTTTCACCTCCAGGGCTTGGGGACCCCAGGAAGCCCTTAGGTACCGCCAGGAAGTTGCTGGCTGACAGGGCTTGGGAGAGAAAAAGTCCACTATTTCTGTTTTCAGGGCAGGTTGCCATGGCTCCGCGGGCGTGGCGCCAGCTGGGGTATCTGCAGCCTTTGTTTGGGTCCCTGTCGCCATGGCAGCGCTTGTTTGTTTTGATGTTACTATGTGTTAAATTTTAAACAAGTGTCTCTCAGCTCTCTGCCAGCTTTATTGAAGACGACTGTTAACCTAGACGCCCTCCTGCCCAGAGCTGGCTGGCCTGACTCTCAATGGTTAATGGAGACCTCAGGCAGGCCCAGGGTGGGGTCCTTGGTCCCTGAGGCACGGACCACAGGTCTGTGTGTGCCTGCTGTGCCTGGGCAGGGTGCGTGGGAGCCACAGGGTCTGCTGCCACCTGCCTTGAACACCGTGCTGCCAGGAGGGGAGGCCGAGGGCCAGAGGGAGGCCGAGGGCCAGACTTGTTGACTGGGTGTGTGGCCTGCCATCAGGGCTCACCACTTCCCACCCACACCCACGTGGGGGCTGTGTGATGGCCAGTTGGCCCTCTGTAGGGCCAGTGCCCACTGTAGAGAGCAGGGTCGGGCCCCAAGGGCTTGCTGGCTGCCGCTAGGATGGGTAGCTGCCTGATGCCAACCCTCTGCCGTGGCCAGTTGGACCTAAAGGACATCGTCCGAAGTCTGCAGACAGCTGGGCACAGGTCCCAGAAGCAGGCCCAGGCCCCAGGAGAGCCCCCGCCAGGTGTGTGGCAGGAGGGGCAGAGGCTGGGTGCTCTCCGTATGCCCACACGTCCCGGAAAGCCAGGAGACACCGGCCCTGCTCACCTCTGCACCCACCCTGGGGCGCCCTTCCTCCTGCTCTGGGCCTGGGGAGCAGGCAGGGCTGACACAGACACCTGTCCCAAGGGAGGGTGAGCACAGGGCCTGGGGCCAGACCCAGGATCTGGGTTCCAGGAGCGTGGCCTCCCTTCCCATGGCTGCGCCGCCCTCTAGAGGCCACCTGTGGCAGTGCAGAGCCAGCCCGTGGCTTCTCCCTGAGGGGAGGCACCACAGTCCCTGAGGGGCGGGGGCACTGGAAAAGTCATGTGCAGCATATTTGGCTCAGGGTCTGTGGGCTGGTGGTCCTGTGCCCTGGTGAGTCAAAGAGGAGGGAATGGGGCAATCTGGGGACAAATGTCCACCTTACCTTGTAAACCAGCTGGACAGTGCATGCAGGCCATGTAAGGAATGGCCTTCCCCAGACACCCAGAATTGTCAGTGTGTGCATCTCAGGCCCCCGAGGTCACGGGTGGCCTGACGGCGGCAGAGCCCCAGGCCTCCTGGCAGAGCGGGCCCCTGTGCCCAGGCCTGGTCAGAACCTTGAAGGCGCCAGGCACAGGGGCCAGGAGGCACTTTAAGGATGGCTATTTCCTCTTCCGAGGGAGGTGACAACGTTCTGGACCCAGGCCACCCCTGGAGGCGGGTTGCAGATGGCTGGCGGTCAGATCTCTGGAACTTGAGCAGCCCCAGTACAGCCCGGCCCAGTGGCCTGGGGGTCCTGGAGGGACCTCAGCAGGGTCATGGCCTGACCTCTTGGCTGGTGGATGGTTTCACTGGTCAGCTGAGCCTGAGTGAGGTGCAAGAAGGCTCTGGTTTCCTAGATGCGGTGTGTGTGAGGTGCCCTCACAGGCTGCTGACACCCAGGCCCTTCCAGGTCACCTCCCTGCCCCTGAGGGGCTTCCTAAGTGGTCTGGCTGTTGTGGTCACCTGGAGACCCTGGAGAGCTCTGATCCAGCCTCAGCCTCAGCCTCAGCCTCATCTTGGTATGGATCTTGGGGCTGGGTCCTGGGGGAGGCAGGGGCAGTCAGTGGGCATGGGGGAGCCCTGGGCCAGTGCTTGGGCTGCTCCACAGTCTAGCAGAAGTGTGGGCAGCTTCCAAATCCGGTCCACCCAAGCCCTGAAGAAGCCCCAGGTAGGGTCCACCCCAGCCCAGGGCCAGGGGCCATGTCCTGGAGCTTCATGCCTGCATGACCAGCATTCTGGCTCCGACCCTCGCAAGTGCAGGGGCAGCTCTGCCCTGACCACAGCCCACTCTCTCCCGGGAGTGGCATCTGGCTGGTGAACCCCTCCTCAGAGGTCCCTGGGGGATCCAAACTGTCACAGAGCCAGGGAGCCCAGGAGCACCAGCAGCCTTCTCTGAACCCAAAATTATCTCTGATCATCCATCCATCCCTGTAGAGAGGGGTCCTCTCACAAAGGGGTCTGTGGAAGGGGCTGGGGGCTTTGCATATGCCCAGAGCTGGAGGGTGGGCCCTGGAGGTGCAGGCCTCTGAGCTCAGTATTGGCCCAAGCGAGGTTCCTGCAGCCCCTGCCAGGCCGCCTGTCAGCCTGGGACACGCAGGCAGGCGACTGGAGCCTGTGTGTGAGCAGAGGCCACATCCCGCTGGGCTGGCTTTGGAGCAGGGGAGCCTGAGCTCCGGGGAGCCCCGCAGTCCCAGGGCTCTGCAAAACAGGCTCACTGTGTCCAGAGAGCCCTGGAGTGACAGGCATTGTGTTCCTAGACTCACTGGGGTCCCCTGGGGACAGCTCTGTGAGCCTGGGGGCCGAGACGGGGGCTCCCTCTCCTCAGCAGCACTGTGGGGCTCCTGGTGCAGCAGAGCAGGCATCCAGCCCCATCTGAATGTGGCCTCTGATGGAGGCCCCCCAGCCCCCGCCCGCCCCCCGTGACTCGTGCTGGTGGCGCCTGGTGCGGTGGCCACCCGCAGAGGGCTGTGTGCCTCAGTGGTAGGTCACCAGGCCTGGCATTCACATGTCCCCCCAGCAGGGCAGTGAGCAGGAGACAAGAGTGGCTTTGACAGCCCGGGACAAACAGAGAGGCCCCCAGGGCCCAGAGAGGACAGTAAGGCTGTCAGACCCAGGCACTGGGTTGCAGGGTCCAGCAGCCCAGGGCGGCTGGTTCAGCCAATACCACAGGGGACAGCTGGCACATGCAAGCTGTGAGCTTCTGGGGGCTCTGGCCTCCCCACACGACACCACTGAGCCCCTTTCCCCAGCAGATAGTTCTAGAATGTGTTGGGGGGCACAGTCCCGTTGTGGGGTCTCAGTGATCCTCCCTGGAGAGGCATAAGGTCCTGGCTACAGGATCTGGGGGCTCCCCCCATCTCCCCCCTCAAGTTCAGCTCTTTTCTTGACCTGAGGGTGTCAGATCCAGATGTCCCAGGTTTTCAGGGAAGAGTGTGCGCGCCCCAGGCTCTGGAAGACGCGGGTTCTGTGGGAGCCACGCGGAGGCATCTCCATGTCCAGCTCCTCCTCCTGGCCACTTGGGGTCCAGTGTCCCTGTGGGCATCACCCATTGGGTGTCCACATGCCACAGTGTATTTGCAAGGCCAGTGTGGAAGGACATTTGGGTTTTTAGATTTGAGTGATTGTGACTAAAACTGTGACAGCATTCACATGGGGCCAGGTGAGAGCCAAATCTTCATCTCTCGGGGGCCAGAACCTAGGGATGGGGCTGTGGGACCCATGGTGCTCACCTGTGCAGCCCCCCCAGACCCCAGTGCTGTACCTGGCCCTTCCTGCAGGCAGGCCCCTGCACACTGGGCATCTGTGCAGCCCCGGCTTTCCCCGAGGAGGGCGGAGGGCAACACTCCTGGCTTGATAGACATCTGTGTCTCTGGGGCGGTTTGATATTTGGATACATGGCCCACTTTTTGACACTGATTTCTTTTTCATACTGTTGAGTGTTAAGAGATCTCTGCATGTTCAGGTGTGAGTCCTTTGTTGGGTTTGTGTTTTGCAAACATTTTCTCCCAGTCTGTGGCTGCCTTTCCTTAATGGTGTCTTTCAAAGAGGTCGACTTTTAGACTTTGGACCAAGTGCAGCCCACTCTTGTTTCATTAATGCAGCATGTGCAGTTATTTCTGGGAAACCTGAGAAACTGACTCACGCATCCTCCCCCCAGTGTGCCGAGTTTCAGGGGCACTGGGATGTGTCTGAGTGGACACATGTGGGGCCAGGTGTGGGTCGGAGGGATCTGGTATGTGCAGGCCTTGCCGTCCTCCTGGCTGGCCTCATCCCCAGTCCTGGGGGACTGTGCACTCAGTTCTGCGACTTGGTTCTCAGTTTTTAAACCATTCTGACTGTGCTAGGTCCCCTCTCACCCTTGCCAGTGTTCACTGTCCGTTGTCTCTTGGGCCCTGGACATTTGGGGCTGGTAAGTGGGCAGCCACAGTTGCTTGGCCCCTCCAGGCGGCCTGTTTCTGGCTGGTGTACTAGTATTCCCCAGTGCCTCACAGGGTCCTCTGCAGACCTCAGCCTCACCCAGAGTTCAGACATTGAAAAACTCACTCATTTGGATTAGTTGGGACAGATCCTATCAAAGTTGAAAAATGTTTTTAAAGCAAAATTCTAAGGTAAAGAAAACTTTGGAACATTTTCAAGTTGCCTGGATGCCCTCCTGAGGGAGGAGGTGGTGAAATTGTGGGATAGGTTTGGGCACACTGTGTCTGGACACATCATGGCTCTGGCTGTTCTAACCTAGAGCCACCAGCTGGCTGACGGTACCCCATGAGGGCAGGGGAAACGGGGAACCCAGGGAAGGGCCTGGGTGCAGGTATGGGTTGGGGAGGCGACTCCGCCGGCCACCACCGAGTGTTGCCGGGCTCCTTCTGGGCGGCTGGCTGCTGGTGGCTGTGTGCAGTGCTCGTTGCCCGTGGCCACTGCGTGGCGCGGGTTGCCAAACAGCACGGCGTGGGGACGCACGCTGGCTGGGCAAGGGCCGTCTTGGGGGTGTCTGCTCCCATGCTTATGGGGCCCGCATCCACAGGGGAAAGTCCTGCCGGACCATCACCTTCGAGCAGTTCCAGGAGGCGCTGGAGGAGCTGGCCAAGAAGCGATTCAAGGACAAGAGCAGCGAGGAGGCGGTTCGCGAGGTGCACAGGCTCATTGAGGGCCGTTCGCCCGTCATCTCAGGGGTCACGGTGAGCAGGACTGGGTCTGGCTGGGCGGGGCCTGGTGTGGGCGGGGCCTGGTGTGGGCGGGGCCCGGGGTTCCCGCAGCCCCTGTTCTCGGGTGGCCACTGGTTGCAGTTAGAGGCGTGCCACCCTCGAACATCGGGCAGTTTGAAGGACTGCCAGATCCGTCACCCCCCACCCAGGACTGAGCTGGCGCAGGGGAGGTGGATGTGTCCAGACCTCGGCCCCGCTGAGTGACCGGCCAGTGGCTGTCCTCAACTGCCTCCTTGCTGAGCTCGCATTAACGCTCTTCTCCCCACTTTCCCCCTGCAGAAAGCCGTGTCCTCGCCCACCGTGTCGCGGCTCACGGACACGACCAAGTTTACGGGCTCCCACAAGGAGCGCTTCGACCCATCGGGCAAGGGCAAGGGCAAGGCTGGCCGCGTGGACCTGGTGGATGAGTCAGGCTACGTGCCTGGCTATAAGCATGCAGGCACCTATGACCAGAAGGTGCAGGGGGGCAAGTAGCTGCAGGACACCCTGGACGCTGGGGACGCGTGAGGCGCGTGCCCGACTGGCACCCCGTCCCACTTCATCACATTCCTTTGCACACTGGGCAGTACTCGTGGACCTTGGCCTTGCCTGCTGGGAAGGGGACACCCAGGCTACCTCCTGCCCGGCAACACCTCTCAGACCCAGGTTTGGGTCCTGATTCACTGACCCTTCCTAACACAGTTGTCTCGTCCAGAACTGGGAAGTGGATGGTCCTTTTCAAATGGTCTCCCAGGACTGTGCCACACTGGATACCTGCTTGCAGGGAAAGGGGCATTCTGGGAGCTGTTAGGTGTGGGAACAAGTGGGGCAGACCCTGTCGGAGGCCCTGCTGACCTTCTGACACCTTCTAGGAGCCTCTGAGGCAGTAGGAGTTAACCAACTAACCAACAGCACAAATGAAACCGCTACCCCAGCAGGACACAGGCAGTGTCCGAGGCGCCCCACGAGCAGGGGCCACAGCCCTTCATGCTGTCCTGGCAGGGCGTGTGGCAGGCCACACATGCAGTGCCTGTGGACAGGTCTGTGCTGAGGGCAGTGTGAGAGGCAGGCCCAGGAGCCACAGCAGAACCTTGGGCTGCCCAGGGCGTGGCCTGGGAGTGAAGTGGGCAGTCCCTCCCCTTTGCTGTCCTAGCAGTGATGAGCCATGGTGACCGCTTGTGCTTAGAGTGGTCCAGGGGGCTCAGCTCGCCCTGCTGTGTCACCAGCCAGACTGGGACATGTGTGGTGCAGAGCCCACGCGGTGGCCTCGGTGCGAGGGCGGGCCTCTCCGGGCTTCCTGCGTGGCTGTGCTGGCTCCGCCCGGCTTTGCTTGCAGCCTCCCTCAGGGAGGGTCTAGGCAGCGTGCTCAGCTCCCGGTCCTCCCGACACCCCAAGGCAGGACACCAAGCCTTCAGAGCCAGTGGCATTTGCTGGGGTTTCCTTTTCTGCCATGGGCAGCTGAGTGCACAGGGCCAGTGCAGAGCTGGCCCAGGACCCTGCCCACCCACACCACAGGCCGCACGGGCAGCCCCTCCTCAGCATGGTGCAGGCACAGGGACTGAGCGTTCCTGTGCCATGCTGAGGCTAAGAGGCGTGCGCCACGACTGTCACCAGGGCCCACAGCAACCCGCGGGGCTGTCGTCCTGGAAAGAGCCCATGGCAGCCTGGGGAAATGCTTCCAAGAACCTGCTTGTTCTTGGCCACCGACTGTCCGGATGGCTGTTCAGGGGGACTCTCAGCCCAGCCCACAGCACAGGCAGACAGTAAGGCCCTCTTCCCGCCATGGCAGGTGGACATGCCACCCACCACTCCTGAGCCTGAAGAGTGCCCAGTCACAGCTGCAGCCCCGTGGAGGCCAGACCCCAGCCCCTGAGCAGAGCAGAGACCTCGGGTCCCAGCTGAAGGCTCCCCGAGTCCCCCAACACCAATGGCCTCCATGGAGGATGGGTGGCCCCAGCAGACAGCACCCTTCCGAGGTCCTGGGAGACCAGGTGCCTGGCACAGATGACAAGGGGAACTGGGTCTGAGGCTTGGGGACTCCCTGTGGGTGTCATCTCGCTGGTCTGGGGAGAAGCTGCCAGGTGCCCAACCCCAGCCCAGCATTCCAGACTTGAAGCTGGTCTTTTGTGTGAAGAGATTAGAGGCCAAAACAACGTGGGCAGTGTTGGACACCAGCTCTGTGCACTACCCCACAGCCCTGTATTCAGACCAGCAGCAGTATTCCATCAGTGGTCTCYCCAGACCCCCAGTCCCAGGGCCCCGGAACACCCACCCCCTCCTGGCTCTTGCCCTCTCCAGCACCCCTGGTTCCCAGGGGCCCCCGTGGCTGGCCGTCTCTTGGTCTGAGGCTGATCTTCTCCCTTTCTTCTGCCTGTGAAGCTGAGTTCCCCTCATCATGGCAACAGTCCCTACAGGCACGTACCCTGGGCCAGGGTAGAGGGATGGGGCGGGGGGCACCCAACGGGTCCTGTGCCACATTATCAGGTATGGATGCTCCCTGGGACCCCACAGTCTGTGTGGAGCACCAGGACACTGTCTGCTGGTCAGTGGGTCACTGTCGGACAAGAACGACTCTGACCAAGTGGTGGGCTGGCCTGCTGCAGGAACACACAGGAAGTTGGACCCACGCAGAAGCAGCCATCTCAGTGCCATCCTCAGGGGACCTCAATCCCTCGTGACTGGGCACCCTGTCCACGCAGCCCACACCTCATGATATCACTGCCCAGAACTGGACAGAGAAGCACAGACTGGCGGGGCCACAGGTCCCAGGCTGCAGAGTGCCAGCCCCGGCCAGCTCTGGCTCCTGAAGGTGCGCCCTTGCCAGGCCAAGTCCTCTCACTTCTCATGAGAACTGGAGAATGCATTCCTGGTCACCATAACGAATCCTTGGGTTTTACTGAAGAAAAACCTTGGTGGCCCTCCACATCCTAGCCTGGTATGCCCTCGGGCTTGTGCAGGAGAGCCAGTGCGCCAGGCTGTCCCATCACATGGTACTCGTGGCACACAGCACTGCATCAGACGAGTGGTTCCCATTTTGTCCCCAACAGGTTCCAAGGGCTTCCTCGGACACACGTGGGTAAGGACCATACCCTCCTCTGGTCAGTTTCAAACTGTAGCTTTGAAACACACCCTCCCTTCCCACCTGTGTCCCTAGCAAGGAAAGGGCAGTAAAAACCAACCCAGGAAACTTTAAAACTGGGCACGGAACCTGTGCGCCCCCGCACGCAGAGCGGGCTGGGACTCTGTACAAAGTGGTGCGTTTCCTCAGTCTCTGGACGCCCGCCGTGAGCTGTGGGCAGGTCCTGCCTGTGTCGCATGGTCTCTCAGTGCCAGTAACTTTACTAACCACGGTTCACAGGGGCAGACACATCTGTAGGTGAAACTGCACAGCATGCAACCCCAGACACGGGGACACGTTCTGTCAGGAGGTGACTCCCAGGAGACAAGGACAGGTTCTCTCAGGTGACATTCTGTCGGGAGGTAACATCCAGGAGACAGGGATGAATTATAAGGAGACACTGGTGACAAGTCAGGTTCTGTCAGGTGACACCCAAGAGAGGGGCAGGTTGTCGAGGTGGACAGAGCTGACGGAGTGTCACTCTCAGGGAAGGAGGCGTAGGAGCGTGGTGGGGAACGCTGGTCCTAGCAGAGGCTTCTTTACTTCTGTTTACTGCTCTAGGGTAAGCACCTAGTAAGTGCTCTGTAAGGGTCGTAGTGGTTAGCTCTACCAAAATCAAAGTTCAAGTGATGTTTAAAAATATTATAGCAAAAGATATATATTTATACTGGAGTATTTTTACACCTTTGATATCCTTGGTCTTATGTTTGAGGGTAGACGACAATGACAGCAGATGCAGGGACATTTTGAAAAGGCACCTTAGTGGTTCAATCTGCATGATTCCTGCCACCCCCCACCTGTTTGTCACCCCTCCAGGGTCTGAGTGGCTGGCAGCTTGGGGCAGGCACTGGGCAGCCTGGGTGGCTGCAGCTGCCTCCCACGGCCACACGGTGCGCTCAGTACTGGCCACAGCTGCTCTGGCACCGTGGCAGGACTGGAGGGAGTGTGGCTGGAGGGTGCCAGGGCTTGGACACCTATAGCATTTACACCTGTCCCTTTACGGGGAAGCGTGTCTGCCTGTCGGCTACTTCCTCCCAGGGCTCACTCAAGCCCGCTGCTCCTCTGCCCTGCAGCGCCTGCCACACGAGGACAACCTGTTGTCACTGCTCAGTACAGTAAGGGTGACAACTCAGCTCTACTGTGAAGTTATCGAGAGGCCAGACGTCCATAAACACTGTACTGCTACCCTCCCTCCACTGGCTGACCACTGAGGAGTCGGTGAGCTCTGTGTTTCAGGGCATGACCTGTCCCTGGGACGGGATGGAGTCGGGCGGGACAGGCCTTCTTATGTTAACCATCCCTCTTCCTTTAGACCTCTTAACAACTAAACCAAGCCAAACGACAAAGGAAACTTGCACAACCTAAAAGAAACTTGAAAGGGATAATATACTACTAGTTTGTACTAAGTTTTTTCAAGAAATGGAAACAAATTTATGTATATATATGCAATATATTTTTACACGATTTTATTAACGTTAAGGAGAACCGAGCATATCACTTTATCAGTGTGATGGGTAATGTTGGTGTCTGGGTGTTCCGACTCAGAAAGGCTCTTCTGCTGATGTCTAAATCACACTCACCAGGAAGGTCTCTGGGGTCCCGAGGCCCTGCTGTCCCTCCCACAGAGCGTAAGGCACCATGTCACCTGTTGGACTTGCTTTTGTGGCCCGGCCTGTAAATTTTTAGTGAAACAGCTCCTGTCTGTCTGCACATTTCTCCTGTGTGTGTGCTGTCTGTCGTAGCATCCTGTGTCATTGGTAAAGTGATGAATAAAGGTGTTACAACATGGGTCTCCTGCCTTCCTCAGAGTGCACACTGCCTGTGCTAGCGCCACCTCCTGGCAAAGTGGGCCTGACATTCTAACCCTAACATCCACCCCAGGGAACACCCCAGAGAGACTGCAGAGGGGCAGGAGGATCCTCTGCGCTGCATGCACAGCACACAGGCCCTGGGTTACCGTTACCCAAGGGAGCCTTTTGCTTCCTGGCTGGGGCTGAGCACGCAAGGGCAGGTGAACAGCCAGCCGTCTATCACCACCAACCACCCAGCTACCTCCAAACTGGGCACGACATCATCAGCAGGATGCCACAAAACCCAAACCGACCTGGAACACTAGCCCAACAAAACAGCTTCCAAAGAGGATAAAGGCATTTTAGTTAACAAAAGAGGTTTTGCCACCATTAGACACAAAGGAAATTCTAAAGCACAAAGAGTCACCCAAGCAATATCTGGGATGTGAAGAGAGCAGAACAAAGAGAATAAACAGGCCAGTAATTCAAATCTCAGTGACCATACGAAGACTTCCTGTGAAACTAAACATGTCCAGCAAATACTTGGGGAGCCTGGGGTGGGAGGCGGCAGGGTGCTGAGGAGAGGAGCAGGCGCAGCCTAGAGTCCGCACACCTTCCACCAGAGGCGAGGAGGCAGAGGGTAAGGCACAGCCTGCTTGGCAGCTGCTGGGACGTGGCACAGCAGCTGGACCTCTCCTCCCCACACCCCTCACCTTGTGTGGCAAGGTCTTGCTTGAACAAGGGGCTATCCCCACATCTGCCACCGTGACACAACTTCAAAGGCTGAAGCCACTGAAATGCCATCGAAAATATAAATGTTATGCCTGAAAATTAAGAGCATGAGGGCCAATTCCTAGGCCACCACGGAGCAGCAGAAAGCCTGCACGGCCCCGACTGGGTGGTAGCTGCCTGCCCCGCTGGAAACCCGCAGCGGCTGACAGGTGCATCGAGTTCTCACCCACACAGGCCCACCTGGGGTCAGTGAGGGGTCTTTTCAACAAGAATGTTCTCCCTGTCCTTGTGATGTGGCTTCCAAGGTCCCTGAGGACAAGGCAGCTGTCAAACGGCCCACAGCCTCTCTCTGCTCAGCTCTGACAAGACACACCCCAGTTCTCAAAGACTGCTGCTAGTCACGGGGCTGGATTCTCTGTGAAAACACTTCAGTAAAGTGCCTCACTAGTCCAAGTTGTCCCCCCACACCACATTCCAGGCCCAAATGACTTCACTGGCTAGCGCCACCAAGTGTCATGGATGGAATGATTATAATTGTGAACAGACTCTGGAACACAGAGAAGGAACGCACAGCCCGACTCATGATAGTGTACTTATGCAAATCCCAAAGGAACAGATACCTTAGGGTATCCTAAGACCCTGTCACCTCTGGAGCAGGAAGTCATCATCGCTGTCAAAGCCACGGTTACCCAGCACTTACTGTATGTTAGGTACTGTCCTAGAACTTAATCATATCACTCACTGAGGAGATCAGGGCTCAGTAAATCTGTGAAATGCAAAAGGTCAAAAATGGCCAGGCCTCCTGATGGAAGGGAAAGGTGTGGAGGCCGGTGGGCAAGGCGGACGCAGAGGTCTTCAGCACCGGGGTGGAAGTGCCTGGACCCAGCTGAGAATGACAGAAGTGGTCCTTAGCCACCCCAGCCCGCGCAGAAGTCCGCTCTAGGTGAAAGGCACCCCTGGACCCAAGTCCACTCTGCAGACTCCTTTGGGAGGGAGCTGTGGGCACCTCATGCTGGGGCCCAGGAACAGCACAGGGACTTCTCACTGACTCCACTCCAGCCCCCAAGGTGCCGGCCACCTCCTCCCCCCACAGGCAGGCACTCCGCAGCCCACAGGCTCAGGAACACACCCCCTGCAGCACCGCAGCAAGGCCCCTGGTCTCAGGGTCAGGCCATTCGCCTGAGCCGCTGGCAGGACTGGGGAAAATGCTCCAGACTTATCATGGTGCACCCTGCAAAGGCGGAGGTGAAGAGGGGCGCAGGGCTCCACGCACTCTCTGTGCCACCCTTGGAAACCTCCACGTGCTCGGCTCCGCAGAAGTCCCTAGGCCCTGTTTCTTCAGGTTTCTGTGGGAGCTTCGCTAGGCGGGCATGACTGACTATATGGCTGAGGGTCCTCCTCCCTCCCTGGGGCTGTGGGGGAGGCTGAAACCCTCAGACCTACTCTGCTCTTTCCTGCCCATTCTGAAGCTACCGAGGGGCAGACAGCAGTCAACACATCAGCACCCAAAAGACCCTTGAGAGATCTAAGGGCTTTAGAAGCTGGATGTCAGGAAGCTGGGCAGAGACTGGATATGTATTTCACAATATCACAATGACTATGAAAAATGGTTTTTTACAATTAGATCCAAAATGCTGATAATTGGGCTGATAATGGGACCATATCAAAGTCTGAAATTCCTCTTAAGAAGTGCTATTAAAAAATGAAAAGCAGCAGCCAATTATGAGTACAACCCGCAAAGCACCAAGCTCAGGATACAGGCTAAGCGTTCCTCAACCACAGTGCCTGGACCACAGTATTTCAGACTTGGGAATATTTGCCTAGATGTTACTGGCTGAGTATCCCTAATCCAAAAATTCAACTTTTTTTCATGCAGTGCTGGGGATGAACCCAGGGCCTCACACATGCCAGGTGTACACTAATCACGGAGGCACATCTGGACCCTGATATACTGAAAAGTTTTCAGATTTTGGAGCACTCTGGATTTTCCAATCAGAGAAGCTCAGCCTATAAGTAAGTCTTGCAAATAAACAGGAAACAGACTATCCAACAGAAAACAGGGAAAGGACTTGAACAGTCACTGCAGAAAAAGAAATCCAGATGACCCGTATACCCAGAAAAAGGCCAATCAAACCCCGGGAAGTGCACTGCACGCCTTCTAGAGATGGTCTTACGGGCTGCTGGTGGTTCACTTCGTGAACAGTTTGCATTACCTGGTGAGCTGTCCTGGGCATGGTCAAGGAGTTAAGGGAACAGGAACACAGTGGGAAACAAAACCTTAAGGACAAATGGCATCTAAAAGCTAAAATACACACAATCGTGATGATAAAAACGAACTGCCCAGGCCTAAGCTGGATTAAGCATGAAGAAGAAGAGCTCAGCACCTGCAGCCGACCAGCAGAACAGCCCTAAGGGAAGCACTGAGGCAGAGGATGGAAAAGACAAAGGTGCTCGAGGACGTGGCAGCGTCATGGTCTAACGTGAGCATGCTAGAGACCAGGGCAGGGGCAGGAAAGGTGAAGTTCCCCAAGAACCCCAACAAGAGGAACATGCTGGCATGGTGGTCCTTCTCTACAGGCTTCAAATGGACTGGTGCTAACATCTTCTGAGACTTCCAGGACCCCACCCCATGCAAAAACTAGTCTGGCATGACATTTTCCAGCAAGTCCAGACACTGATGCTGATGGACCCAGGCATGACAGGTGTCAGGAAGGGCCCCGAGGCTCACGCCCACCTCTGCCCACTCACACCACGCCACACCCAGCCAACCCAGAGCACCTTCGTCTGCCTGCTCTTTCTTGCTAAAGCAAACATAGTTTTTAAAAAGTCACTTTGTTTTACCAAGCAAGGATTACATATGAAGTAAGCCTCCAAACTAAAAACCTATTTTTATGTCCTGATATGAAATAATTTTCAGAAATACAAGCAAAATTCAGGTCTTGAGTAGATGTTTTTACTATGACATGTTAGTATCATAAAACAATATTTTWAAGTATTTCTCACAACTTACAAGTATTACTCTTATTAAGTCTTAGAATTTATTATTTCCCACTCCCTCTCCATGGTATGTAGTCTGTTTTCACCAAAGAATTCCATGAGAAACTCATTTGTAATTTATAAAGAGCCACTTAAAACTTAACTTTTCAGAACAATATTGAGTTCAATGAGGAAGGCTTGTCACACAAAAGGCTACCATTTTAATTATTATACATAGATATCTCTTATGTTAGGAAGAAAAACTGCATTCACTTCATCTTAGGATATTTGATGCAAACATGGTTTTTGTCTCCTAACATGCAAAGGCCTAGGATTCATCCTATCATTTTAGGACTTTTAGAAAGCTGAACTATAAACCCTGAATACCTTTCAAAAATCATAAGGTAATTACAGACAGAAGAGACAGATCTCACCAGCAAATGAAGGTAGAGAAAGACAAAGGTGCAAACCATGAGGCTGTGACAGATAGTGAAAGGAATCACGGCTCTGGGCAGCATCAGCAGGACTGGCGGCCACCAAGACTGGCGCTGCGGGGCGGGAATAGGGCCGCGGTCTTCTTGAGCTCCTGGAAGCTCCAGTGCATCTGTTCCACCTCAGCCCTGTGCTGTGCCCGCACGCGGCCCAACTCTTGCAGCAGGTGCTCGTTGGTGCTGACCAGGGAGCTGCAGGACAACAGGGAGAGGCCTGCTAAGCTCCTCAAACGCAGGGCCTCTGCCACCCTCCCAGCAGCACTGTCCTTCCCGCCACTGCCTGGCCCACAGCCCATCCCTTGGCCTTTTCTGAGTCAGGTTCTCTCTCTTCCCAGCAGTACCCAGGTCCACCACCTGATCATGTCCTGGTCATCTCCCACTTCCTACTGGCCACTGTCCATCTGTTCTACCCTTCCTGATCAGAATGAGCTGTGCCCACTTCACCCCTGGCTCAGCCAACGGGCAGATGAATGGCTCCTTCGACATGTGCCAGGTGTGGGTCTTTGACAAGATCATGAAGCCCTTTATGGCCAGCAGAATAACGTCCTAACTCTACCAAGGACCCAGACTGCCACTCCTCCAACCCCAGTCAGCGTGTTGATTCTGACAGGCAACGGGGTGATGGAACCCCGTTATCACACTTCCCGGGAGAGGGCTCAGGAAGTGCTGCACACTTCACCCGCTCTTCACCTCCAAGCTGCTGTGGTGACGTCTGCCATTCACCACAAAGAGGGTACCCCACTGACCAATCCACTGAGTAGGCCC